TCAAATTGGGCTTGGACAGCCATTGCACGGTGTTGCTTTGACAGTGTCGCGAATCTGCCGCGTAGCCAGCAGCGCGGCGTTCTCCTTCTTCAGAGGTACCACCGGCACGATCCGTGGATCGGAGAAATCGCGATAGCTGCCATGCACCACCTCGAGGGGAAGCGGACTTTGTCTTGGCATCTGTACCCGAAGCAGCCGAAACAATCAAATTGGGTTACCTCTCCAAGTGACTCGATGGCATCCTTTTTCTGGAAGCCAGGGTTTATGTCGTTCCATCAACATAGGGCGTCTTGTTTTGAGGATATCCGTGGCTTCAAAGGAACTCCCAGAGAAAAACCATTCTGTTCCGGCAGGGGCCTCTCAAAAAGACACACTCATAAGGAAACAGAAGGGGGAAGGAATCAGCAAGGAACATCTGCCGACGTGCACACTGCCACATGCTCTGAGAGTACACCTGTCTGCCAGCCCCGAACGTAGGCTCTCGCGCTTGCGCCCAGTAACATGTGTTCGGATGCCTTGCGTTTATCTGCTTCTGCCAGGTGTGCTTTGCCGGCAGCCACACCAGCAGAAAGCAGGATGGAAACGATGCATGAAACTCACGACAGGAACAAGTATCTCCAACTTCCATAGTTCACTTCTTGCACCCAAAGCTCCAACAACGAAGCCACAGCCAACCCGTGGCGACATGAGTTGCAGATGTGATCAATGCCACCCGCCCGAGTTTCTTTTTCCGAAAGAGCCAGGGACCGCTTTTGCCCAGCTTTTCCTCCGCATCCAAACCCTCCAAACATCCAAACCCTCCGTCGCATCCGGGCTGGAAAGTTGGAAGGCCTCGATTTTTCCCAAAGGCCAGGTACCGCTTTTGCCCAAGGCCCTTTCTGCCCATCCCTCACTCCATCTCACTGGGTCGGCCTCCTGAAGCTCCGACGCACTCAGCTCCTAGGGTCATTCTTTTCACAGTCTTCGGGGGTTATCAGAGTCAGAAATGGGGTTGTTTCCCTTTAACACTGAACGGGGGTGACTTTGACCACGGTAAAATAACGAGGCCAGTCGGCCATGGGTCAAAATCCAAATCGCACCAGTGAACATCAACCAATCCAACCACTAAAATCGGAATGCATCTATTCCAAGATGGGATCCCAGCCAGTCCTCCCCCACGAAGAGCCGCAGCAGCTCCAGCGCCAGCTCCCCAAAGCTCAGGCGCCGCCAGGCCGCCAGGCCCAAGCTGACGCTCGGCAGCTCCTCGGGCACCTCGAGTTCAAAAAAAAAACACCAAGAAGCCGCGGCGCTAAAACAAGGCGAAACAAAGGCGATCAACGGGACAGCTCTGCCATGAACCCGAAAAAAAACCGCTCCCTGGTTTTGGGGGTACCCGAGTTTTGTTCAGGAGGTCTATTTTAGCAGAAAAAGCCTCCTCACAAAAAAGGGTGAGAAAGGGCACTACTGGGGGACCTAGTTTGGGTGGCTCGACTTTCTTTTCGAGGGGAAGCCCCAGAAGGGCTTCGGTCTTCCTCTTGGTTTCTGTTTAGACTCCAACAAAAAGGGGTACCCTCGAACAATAAACATATCACATGGAGAATTTGGAGATTGTGGCAAATGCACACCAACCACAACTAGGGACCGAGAGGAACAACAAAGGTCCAGTCGCACCGAACAAACACAGCTCTTGGCATTCTCGCAATACCTGAATCGATTACTCATTTGTCACTTGACGTTGGAATGGGGATCCAACAACATACGCAAGCGACAATTTACTGTGAAGCTTTAAGCTATCGGAGATTTCACCCAAGGGACGTAGAGGCCTCCGTCTTCGGCATAGCCCCGGCAGATCGCCTCTTCAAAGCTGACGCCCGGCCCACCCCGAGTGCTGCAGAAGCGCATCGGGGCTTCGGGGCTTCACGTGAGCTCTAAGAAGCTTTTGCTGCTTGCATAGTCGGATGTCGTATAGAGCACGGATCGGGGATGATCTCAAGCTCAGCTTAACTCTTTGAAACGCAAGCTTCGTGAAGCTATTGCAAAGCACAGGGCCACTGTGACTCGAATGCAGTAGGCTTTGACGTGCCCTGTTGGATCTCGTGCAACTTGCTCGTCGTGACCTTGGGCAAATGTCTAAGGACCACGTCCTACGCGAGACAGGGCAAGCTGCAAAGCTAAGCAAACTGGCCGATCCACACCTAGCTGGTGCTCAGTACTGTAGTGATAATGAACCCAGGCTTTGGTCCCCTTAAAGGAAAACATCAGTTGGATGGCGTTTCTCTAGGTCGTTCCATTTCTCATTCCCTACCTATCGCAGCGCCAAGACCATTGAGCCCTTTCCGCCCCTTTTTCCCCTCAAAAGAAGCCGCCGCCGCCGCCGCCGCCACCCGGTGCCGGCGCCGGCGGTTTCGGGGCCGGCGCCGGTGCAGCCGCCTTGGGCGCCAAAGGCGGCGGAGGTCTGTCTGCTACCGCCTGGGGTGCTCTGCCCTCAACGGCGGCCGGCGGGCCAGGGGCTGGAAGTAGCCTCAGCATGCCGAATGCCTTTCATGCATCTGCTCAAGTCGCGTTTGATTGGCAAAACTTGGGAGGGGCCGCCTGGTATCACCAATTGTAATGCTCTTTGCAGCTTGCCCGAGGTTTGAAAGCAACGGTTGGACGCTCTGGGATATTTTCGCGCCCGAGCGCAACCCAGGCCAAGAAACAGGGATCTTTACATTATACAGCACCTGAACATTGCAACTTGTAATTGGAGGTTTCCCTTTATTTTGGTGTTGAAAAAAAACATGGTTTAACTGGTTGCAAAATGGAGATCTTTTAAGGAGCCTTGAGAAAGGAGCCTTCTCTCGCTTTTTCTTTTTCCTCCCGCACGTGCCCCTGAGACCATCTCCATTTCGAGTGGGTTGCTCCGCACAGCGGGCACACTCGGCAGCGGAAACAGAGCCAACCGTGCGGGTTGCGCTGAGTCTATGTACATCCCGGCAGATTCATGGGCCCGGCCTAGGACTTGAGCACCGCCAGCGTGGACAGAAACCTAGGCTCTCGGACACCAAAGACTATGCAGAACCCAAACATGAACATCTTGACTTTGCAGTAAAACACAAGTGGAGAGTGGATCCTTCGGGGTCTATTGTGACCTGTAAATTCAACTTATCCTGCCAGGTGCTGTTTACTTAGTCTACTTTTCACTCCCTATTTCTCTTCTGTGCCCAGCGGCCCCACCACCACGCCCATTGAGACGAAGGCCGCTGCCAATCTTGGGAGCTGGATGCCTTGTTTTCCTGGAGCATCAAGCACAAACAGGCACTCCGCAATGCATCCTTCCCTGCTAGGGTTACACATGTTCAAGTCTTTGATGTGCCATTTTGGTACACTTTTTTGAGCCACAGCCAAATCAAAAACCCCATCCCAGTCTGCCAAGCGTCGCATGCTCAGCTTCCACATGATGACGCCTGCAAAAAACGGCAGCTGCCAGCCACAAGGGGAATCCGACAAAGCCCCGCTTCCCCGAGGCCCCTCGCCTGGCAGCACGAAAGCCAGGCAGGCGCCCGAACACGCCTTAGTGCGATGACTTGCGATCGGTGCGATAGGACGGGAAAGAGAAATGGAATGACCTCTATAAACCACCTGGGACCCCATATGGCCGTTTTTTTTTGGTCATACGCCTTTGACCGAAAACAATGGCCGTACAGTTGTTTACGGCTTTTTTTCAACAACATGTCGAAAAAATATGGGTTTCATACGGGTGATTTACGCAAATGACCGAAAAATCATGGCCATACGGGCAAATACGGCCAAATACGGGAGTTTGACCGAAAAAAAACAGCCATACGGGGTGCCAGGCATGCCCTATGGTTTCTCAGATGCCCAGTGGCCATTGGGAAAAAAAAGGGTACCCTTTTTTGCTTGTTGAGTGTAAAGGGGAACCCTTACCAAAAAAAAAGGAAAAAAGGAAGCTCTTCTTCAAGTATACAAGGTGACGATCTACAATTAAAGCAAAAAGGGCACCACTGGGCAACAAAGGTTTCCTTTAAGGGAATCCCAAGAAAAGATGCTCAGATGACTGAGCCTAGCAAGTTGGGAGGTGGCCTTGGCGGGGGTGGAAGAGAACTCAGCTCTGACAACATGTTGAGCAGACACGCCTGGGCACCGTCTTCTTCTCCCCCTTCTCAGGCTACTCCAATGTCTATGAACTTTCTACAGTGAAGATACTTTGGGCTCCTTACCCCCTACTCCAAACACCCACTTTTTCCGGGGTATGTTTTGGAAAACCTGGGTGTCCATGGTAAATACCTCCTTTTTTAGTAGAGGGTCGGCATCATACCCTAAAAAACGAGGGTATTTGGAGTAGGTAGACTCTGCGTGACTCTCAGGGGAAGAGAATCTGTTTGCAGCGATTTGTGGAGCTACCCTGGCGACCCTGGCGGCCCTTGCAAGCCGAAAGTCCCCACACAGCGACACCACAAAGGACACATCCTCCAGAAGAGCGCCTGCTGCAGCAAGGGCCACGACAGATACCTGGGCCGGGTGGGGCTCCCCTCCCTCCCTTCCTTCCTTCCTTCCTTCCTTCCTTCCTGGCTCCCTCTTTGGAATCCCAATTTATCATCTTGCCCAAGAATTGACCAAACTTCCATCTGCTGCCTTGCCTGCTTGCATGCTCCTACGTGATCACTTTCAAGTAAGACATGGGGAGATCTTGCCGTTGCAGCACATGGCCGTGTCTTTTGTTAAGGGACCCCCCAAACATGGTTGGTTTTTGCTTGGCTCCCTTCAAAACGAGCAAAAAAGGGTACCATCAAAAAAGACGTACCCACATCTTTCAAATGATCGTCATAACATCCGAGTCCACCATTGGCCTCTCTGCAATGTCGACATGCTTCTGTTCTCGTGCCGAGGAACAACTGTAAAGATCACAGTCTGGTGATGGTTGCCCTTGTGGTCCTTGTGATCCTCGGTCAACTTTAGTGGCACAGGCATTTGCGCTCTTGGAAGCATGCCTTGCGCCCTGCAATACTGCACCCCGCAGTGTTATATGGAGTCGATAAAACACCTCAAAGACTAAGCCAGGATGGTGCCAATGTTCACTTTAGGCTGCAAAAGGAGCATCCACTCATGTTGTCCATCAGCCCTAATGGTCGCTGGAGAAACAGAACCAGTTCCGCCTCCGTGGTGCTATCTTCATGCCCGGTGAACATGTGGATGGTTTTTGCCCATGCCGATCCTTCCGGGGTTTACTCCCAGCGAGTGGGAAGATAACCCCAGGTCCACAAGCAAACGTCCAAGTCACATATAAAGCTCCCGTTCTGCATGCCGCATCGCTGAGATTAAAGCAGTGGCTGGCTGATGTAACACTCATGCCAAAAGATATTCTTGCCTTTGAATTGAGGACACACCTTCAGTGGCCTTTGGAATATTACATATCGTGACCCACATCTATAGATTGCGCTTATAGATTGCGATGAGACAATCTGTGTGGCTTTCAGTTGCCATCTACCCATAGAGCCATCCCCATCTGCATGGACAAAAGGCCCGCCATGATGAGTGCCTGCATTGGCTCCAAATAGACCGAATAATTCTGAAGTAAGAGAGCAGCTCATTCATACCATGTTCAAAGCCTAATGCGTTTCTTGGCAGGGATTTGTGTCGCAGTGTAACTCCTATCAACGGAAGACTGCAAAGTCGATAACCATCACAATTGAGCCCCACTAAACATGTGAAGCTAAATTGTCCATTCTCTTAATCCACGTCGCTCTCTGAAACAGGAATCCTCCGTGGAGAATAGGACAATTCGAGCAAACATATGGGTGTGGTTCAAAAAAAGGAATCGGATTTCCCAACATGGGCTGCCCGACCGTTAAATGGAGCTTGTAGACAAAAAAAACAACTGCGTCCATATCCCGTCTCTCCAAAACAAATGACACACCTGAGCCCTGCGGTCCATGCCCCCCGGCTCTCTCTCTCAGAAAAAAAATGCCAGGCATCCAGGGGCCAGCCCAACGCTCGGCTCAGCAGTCTCATAGAGGAGTCCCTGTGCGCATAGAAGACCAGTGGAAAGGACGCTGCGACACACAGCCTGAGGCTCGAGGCCGGATCGATCGATCGATCGATCGGTCTGTCCGAGGGCGGAGAGGAATCCAAAAGTGCGGTGGGTGACCCGGTGCATGGGGCACCAAACGGTATCCTTTGCCAGTGATCGGTGTTCTGTTTAATGGCTGGTGTGATAGGTAGGGAATGACTGAGTCCGGGTTTTGGGAATGAACTGGAAGAGGATCCCCTTAAAGGAACCATAGGGGATGGTTTATCTGGGCATTCATTCCATTTCTCATTCCCTGCCTATCGAACTTAGAGGGCTCGGGCGCCGCTTGCGGCGAATGCATCTCGGATTCATGCACGCCCCATTCATTCGGGCTACTTTCTGATCAACGTGGACGACTCCGAGATTAGGTTGGACATTTGGCTGTGGCATGGACTAACCCAACCTTTCTAGTTCTTGGAAAGTCTGGTTGGATAAGCTCGCCTTTCGCCACACTCTTTTTCGTCTGGATCTTGTGCTAAAGACTGGAAACTGCTTGGAATCCCGTCCCAGCGAACCGCTTTCTTGCGATTCATCAGCCCCTCTTGCCCCCTTGCAGCCGGGCGACCCCATGCCAAGCCTTGGATCGGATATCAACTGATCACGCGTGGACAAGACTGGCAACTGGGTGGTGTGCACCATGCCGCCAATTGGGTTCAAGCTGATCACGGGACCACAACTTTTTCTGACATGAGACGACTCAAGACGACCTTCCGTTCGTCTGAATTCAAGCAAATTGTTGAGAGCAACTTCATGCAAAGTTCGTCAAACACGCAAGATGCAGCCAAGCAACCACATCAAAAGCACCTGCAGTGATTTACGTGTGAAAGTATCCGGGCCAAATGATTGCATGGCATCCTGAAGGGTATGTAACTCCTGCTACGGCGCGATGACCATCATGCGAATCGCGATTTGAGATGGACACAGACTTGATCCGGATCAGCACTGGCCGTCCTTTTCGACCCTACAGCTTCTTCGCTTCAGACTTGAGACAGCAATGATACCAACAAGCCTCCCACACATGTGTTATCTCTCCTGGCTGGTCCTGCCGGCATTCGCCAAGCGTCTTACCACCAGGAAGCTCACTCTACGGGAAGCTTCCCCCAGTCTTTCCAGGGATCCGAATCTGTTCAGGAAACCATCTTAAATACCCAGGGTTAAAACAGCGATCGGTTTTTGAAAAGAATGGTTGAACAGAATGGAAAAGGAATGAAACCTTGGAACTAAGTAGGAAGTCCAGTCAAATTCCATTGCCAGGGAGTTCAAAAGAACGATGGTTGAACAGAATAGCAATGGAATCAACCCGTGGAACGAAGTAAAATTCCATTGCCAGGGCGCTGGCGTGTCTAAGTCATAGCCCGTCAAGGCATTGCCCGGCACGCTGGGCCCAAACCGAGCATATCCGGCAAGCCCAAACCTTGGTAATACGGGAGGCTCGCCAGCCGAATTCCAAA